AATCTCTTTGTAATAGTCTCCTGTAAGAATGATATCATCCACATAAACAATTAGCACTGCAATCTCTCCCTTAATGGAGAACTTCATGAATAGTGTATGGTCTGCTTGGGCTTGCTTGAATCCCTGCCTCTTTATGAATTGAGTAAACCTTTCAAACCAAGCCCTTGGGGACTGTTTAAGTCCATATAAGGCTTTCTCGAGCTTGCACACCTTTGAGCCATACTGTTCCTCAAACCCAGGAGGGGGGCTCATGTATACTTCCTCTTCAAGCTTCCCATTTAAGAAAGCATTCTTCACATCTAACTGTTGAAGAGGCCAGTCTAGGTTAGCAGCTAGAGATAGAAGGATCCTTATAGTATTTAATTTTGCAACTGGAGCAAAAGTTTCTGTATAATCTATGCCATAGGTTTGTGTATATCCTTTGGCAACCAATTTGGCCTTATATCTTTCAAGTGTACCATCTGCCTTGAATTTAGGGGTAAATACCCATTTGCATCCCACTGTTGGTTTGTTCTTGGGTAATTCCACAACCTGCCATGTCTGATTCTTTTCAAGAGCATTCATTTCTTCTAAAACAACCTTCTTCCACTCAGGTTTAGATAGAGCTTCCTGTATGGTTAAGGGAATAGAAACAGTGGAAAGACTAGAGGTAAAGGCTGCTAATGATGTAGATAACTGAGAATAGGACAAATAGTTTGAGATAGGGTATTTAACACATGATCTTTTTTCTTTTCTGAGAGCAATGGGTAGATTTAGATCACTGGAATTATTACCTTTGTCATTTTCTGACATTGAGTCAGATTCATGGGCAGTGGCAGGATCAGGGATGTCCTCTATTCTTTGATTTGGAACTCTCCTTTCATAAACCTTGCCAAAAAATTTACTTGTCTGCTGTTCATCATCTTTCCTTGTCTAAGAAAATTTTATTTCATTTTCTTTTGATTCTTGACTATTTTCTAGTGCATCTATCTGTCTATTATATTGTGCATCTAGACTAGGGCTGGCATTTTGAACCGAAAAACCGAAAACCGAACCGAAAATAACCGAACCGTTTTAGAAAAAAACCGAACCGGACCGAACCGAACGAAATTGGGACCCAATAATCGGGACCCGAAAAAAAATCGGTTCGGGTTCGGTTTATGTGCACAAAATATCGGTTCGAACCGAACCGACATTTTTATATTAATAATAATAATTGTTATTTATAATAATAATAATAATTAATGACGAAAAATATAGTAATAATATAAACCCGAGTATGGTTTGAACAAAGATGATGAGTAGCGGAGTTGGTCGTTGTGCTCCTATCCCCAGCAAATGGTCGAGGGATCGATTCCCGTATGCTTTGTAATGTTTTGTATTTTTAGAATTTGGCTTCTTTCTTCTTCTATTCTGTCCCACACCGGAAAATGAGCAGCTTACTACTCCAAAAACTTCAATATAAACCAGGTTCCCTTATTGTAGGCTGCTAAGATACGTTCTAGGCTTCCAATTGGGCTAATGGGGCTCAAATATTGGAAAGTTCCAATGAGCTTTAGTCTACTGAATATTAGTTCAAATTTATTTTTTAAAATTGAGTCGGTTTTTCGGTTCCCGGTAAACCGAACCGAATAATTCGGGCCCCAAAAATCGGTACCCGTTCTTAATACGGTTCGGTTTCGGTTTTTGTAATTTAGTAAACCGAAATATCGGTTCGGTTCGGGTTTATACTAAATCGGTTCGGGTCCCGAACCGAACCCAGCCCTAATCTAGACTAATGTCAAGAGATTCAAGTTTTTCATGGATATGTGACACATTATCACCATCTTCATTAGGAATCTCCCCTTGAAGATGAGTACCAAAAAAAAGTTGATTTTCAACAAAAACAGTGTTCATTGTTACAAACATCTTTTTTGTTGTAGGGTCAAAACATTTATAGCCTTTCTGTGTTGAAGATAGTCCTAAGAAAACACATTTTTTGCCTCTAGGATCAAATTTGCTTGCAGTTCTGTCAGGGTTGGTAATAAAAACTGTGCAGCCAAAAATTTTTAGGGGAAGAGAGTTAATAAGCCTAGTTTCAGGAAAACTGACTTGAAGGGTATCAATAGGAGTTTTAAATCCTAGAGTCTTTGATGGCATCCTATTAATTAAATAGGTAGCATGTAAAACAGCTTCTCCCCATAAATATTTTGGAATTCTAGCAGAAAACATAATTGCACGAGTGACTTCAAGCAAATGTCTATTTTTCCTCAAAGCTATTCCATTCTGAGCAGGTGTATTTATACAGGAACTTTGATGAATAATCCCTTTTTCAGCAAAAAAATTATTTAACTTCTTAGAAAAATACTCAAGACCATTATCACTTCTCACAATTTTGATATTAGTATTGAATTGAGTCTGAATCACTTAGTAAAATTTCTTGAACACCTCTTCAACCTCAGATTTTTCTTTAATTAAAAAAACCCATGTGACCCGTGTGTGATCATCTATGATAGTTACAAACCACCTTTTTCCTTTCAGAGTTGAAACTCTAGATGCACCCCAAATATCACTGTGTACAATAGTAAAAGGACTAGTTGACTTGTAACTATGAGGGATATAAGAACTCCTATGATGCTTGGCAAGTGCACACATATCACAATGAAATGATGAAGGATTTTTATTATGAAATAACTTAGGAAACAACATTTTCAGATAGGAAAAGCTTGGGTGACCTAATCTATAGTGCATTAAATACACTTCATTATTACAAGGAAAGGAAATAGTTTGCAGACAAGTTTTTTCTTGACCTTGTTTATTCAATTGTGTTCCTTCATAAAAAACATAGAGGCCATCCTCCTCTCTAGCACTGCCAATCATCCTCCCCGATGCCAGATCCTGAAAAATGCAATAAGAAGGATAAAACTTTACACAACACTGAAGGTCTTTGGTTATTTTGCTAATAGAGATAAGATTGCAGGAAAGTTTTGGAACATGTAAGACTTTAGAAAGGTTAATGGATGAGGAAATTTTAATATTTCCCATCCCTGCTATGGCTGAAAAAGAGCCATCTGCAACTCTAACTTTCTTATCTCCTGCACAAGGTTGATATGAAGAAAAAAGATTTGGAATGTAGGTCATGTGGTCTGTTGCACCTGAGTCAATGACCCAAGTGTTTTTTGGTTTTTCAGAACAAAAGAATGATGTTACCATGTATGGTATTTTACCATTTTGGGCAAAAGAACACGAAGGGTTTTCTTGGTTGGAGATTTTCTGGGTGGGTATAAATTGGAGTAGGTACTCTATCTGTTCCTGAGTGAATGGCAGCTGGTTAGATTCAACTCCTGACTCTTGTTGAGTCTCAGTCACAGTAGTTTGTACGGTCCTCTCCACTTTCTTCTTTCCAGCTCCTGGTGGTTTTCCATGAAGTTTCCAGCATGTTTCCCTTGTGTGCTACAGTTTTTTGCAGTGATCACACCAGGGTTTTTTCTTGTCATCACTTCTGGCCACTAAAACTGAGGAGTCCCCAGGTTCCTCATTAGGTACTGGAGTGTTGTACATGACTCTCTTCCTGCTATCTTCCATCCTGATCTCAGAAAAGACCTCTCTGATTGAGGTCAAAGGTTTCTTTCCCAGTATTCTGCCTTTTACTTCATCTAGGTCCCTATTGATCCCTGCTAGAAACATATAGACCCTATCATTCTCTTCTCTTTTCTTATGTCTGGCCAGATCCTTAGCACTCTCCCACTCTTCATCACCATAGCACTGATCTAATTCTTGCCATAGAGATATCATTTCATTGTAGTATGAAATAATATCCCTATTTCCTTGTTTAGATTGCCACAGTTTGGTTTTGAGTTCAAAAATTTGAGAAGATTTCTCAAGATCTGAATAAGTTTCCTTAATAGAGTTCCATACCTCCTTTGCAGTTTTCATAAACATATGAGGTTTGGCAATTAAGGGCTCCATGGAGTTGAGAAGCCAAGCTGTTATGAGTGAATTCTCTGACCTCCATGTACTGTAACCTTCTTCTCCAGGTAGTTTTGGTTTGATTTCTCCTGTGATGTAACCCAGCTTTCCTCTCCCATCAATTGCAAGTCTGACAGATTGAGACCACTCCAGATAGTTTGTTCCATTCAATCTATGACTAGTGATTATCATAGATGAATGGATAGGAGACTGGTAATTTGTCATAGGGCTAATTTGGGAGTTAGGGTTGATAGTGTTTGAGGAATCAGCATCACTGGTTTCTACCATTGTTTAAACCGAGCTTTGATACCATGTAGGTTTGAAGAATTAATCTTCCTTGAATATTATTGAGCCATCCGGCAATGATATATATACAAGTTACAGATAAAGCCTAGTTGTTACGGATCCTAAAATATAGGATCTATCTATTCTGCGAGCTTATCTACTAGTTAGAGAGTTCTATCTACTCTAAGCCTTATCTATACAGTCCCGGATGTACAAATAATTACAATAACAAGTATATGTTACATTTTTCTACACAAAGAGACGGTGGAGGAGATCCTACATGTTTCTGTTTGACACAGTTTTCCATGAATGATTTAAGTTTTGGTGAAGTGGGACAGTTTACTCCTTGAAGGATTTCAATATAGCACCTAAACTCTGGGGCCACCAGCGGCCACCGGAGACCATCAGTCTGCTCTTGATTTTTAATTTGAATCACGACTTAAGAGGAGGATAGAGAGTCCCTCATATTATATACTACTACGTCCTTAATTATCTTCTGGTTTGATGTTGCAAAAAAAATTATCTTCTGGTTTGACTTTGTATGTTTTTAATAAAGTGGAAACTGAACACTGTGGTTAGAATTTATTTAGAGGAGAGGAAAAACAATATCAACTACATAATCATTTTTTTAAAAGGAAAGAGTACATAATTTAGAGATGGGCTAGAAAAGGAAAGGATGGAAATAAAAATGGGACATATGGAGCACAAGTTTTGACTCTACAAACCCATGCATAATTTAGTTTCTGTTGCCACATGTTTAAGTTACTTCATATTCATCTAATCTTCAGGTGTTGAAGCTATTTTACCAAATGGCACTGTGCTTGACATGCTTGGAACTTTACGAAAAGATAATACTGGATATGACTTGAAGCATTTATTTATTGGTGAACATAGTTAATCCTGTATTCCTTTTCAACATCTGGATTTGTTTATTCCCAAAAGAGATAATGTTTCATTCCTTCCTGTGGTTTAATCATATAGGAAGCGAAGGATCCCTAGGGATCATAACTAAGGTTTCCATACTTACTCCTCCAAAGCTGTCTTCAGTAAAATTGTGCTTTCTTGCTTGCAATGATTATGCCAGCTGCCAGGTAATAAGAGATGTCGTCCAGAAATTCAATTAGCCAAGTGATTTAAATTAATACATCACTAACTTATTTCGAGAAATTGTTGTCCTTTATTGCTGAGTTACTGAGTTGGCTGAAGTACAAAGGTAGCTTGTATATGACTATCTTGTAGCATTCACTCTAAATGATTTTATCTCCAAAATAAGCATCTGTTTTTGAGTGACTTTTTGTTCAGCTTTAGATAAGTTTGCAACTATAATCATATCTGGAATAAAGTATTTCATTTCTAGATATATCTGTTTAATTTAGACATGGAAATTATGACCTTTTCTTATTATAACTACTTTGAAAATCGAATGATATGAAGTATGAACTGCGCTATTTCCTCTACGTTTCGTATAGACTTATGTTACTGTCTTAGTTATATTTTGCTTTAACGGTTCTCCTAATCATAGAAACTCTTGTTGGAAGCGAAAAAGAAGCTTGGGGAAATTCTTTCAGCATTCGAATTTTTGGATGCCAATGCAATGGATCTGGTGAGCTTTCTGTGATGTAAATGTACATTATACTCATTATCCAAGAGTAGTGACACATGCTTATATGAATAAGTTTTGTGATACATTTTTGCTCTATTTCCAAGTTTGAGTATTTCACTCATTGAGTCCCTATAGGGCTATAGATCCCTTTTTACCCATAGCTTGCAGCCTTGCACACTTCATTTATTGATGATAAATATGCATTTTCTTCATGGACTTTATCCTCCCCTTTCCCATATTGTGCTTGCCTCAAGATTCCAATGCAACTGTATTGTATTTTTAGTAGTCTCCTCATAAATGTTCTTACATTTTTATATCATCATCAACATCTAGAAATCTTGGTGTGGTGATAAGAATGCTAAGGTTGCCTCAAGTATTTCATATTTGACACCACCCCCAGGCAGAGGGATGACACATTGCTTACGAGTTATGACCTAGCTGTGGCGATATTCATAGTTCGATTCATGTTATGTGATGTGACTAAATGATACTGTTTGCCGTCACATGCCTACCACAATACCTTCCAGGCATGATACCAAAATGATCTCATGGCGGAGTTTCATTTTGATATAAACTTAATGGGAAAATATTAATATATTATTTTGATTGTGTATGTGGATGACGTTATTGTTATTAGAGATAATCTTGAGGAAGCAACAAAGCTGAAACAAAAATTATCAAAACAAATTGAAATGAAGGATTTGGTGTAACTTAGAGATATATTTTGGAATGAAATAACTAGAAGCAAGTCTGGCATCTCAGTATCACAAAGGAAGTATGTGCTTGACGGTTGACATACTCAAGAAGACTGGTATGCTTAGATGTAAACCAGTTGATACTCTATTGGATTCTCAATGAAAACTTGGAGTTGAATAAGATGGTAGACCAGCTGACAAGGGTGGGTATAAAAATTGCGCGGCAAACTAATCTATTTGACTCACACCTGTCCTGTAGTGCATATATTGTGAGTAATGCCAGTCGATTTAAGAATGCACCCACGAAGCAACATTGAATGAGGTATACAGGCTACTCAAATACTTAAAAGGAATTCCTGGAAGAGGATTAATTTTCAGAAAAACTTCTCATTGTGGAATATAAGTGTTCACACTTCACAGATGCTGATGGGGCTAGTTCAATTCCTGAGAGGAAGTTAACCTCAAGTTAGCGTACTGTTGTATGGGGTAATTTTGTGACCCGAAAGTTTTTGATAGGTACCTGGCACAGATCTGAGCAATACAATAAACTAACAAGCACAGATCTAATGAATGATAGGGAAAGAGTGTTTATTGATGGAAGGAGATAAACCGTAGGCTACGGGGACTTCTTAGGCAACCGGGACTTAGGCAACAAGGCAACAATTCTCAAAATAACAGTCTACCCATTATTAGCTACCCAACTTACTATTTATAGTAGTAGGTCCACGCAGGGACTAAAATAGAAAAACAGACTCATTAAATGACCCCAGCCCACTTAATTGACCTCAGCCCATTTTATTTCTCCTTTCAAATACCCTATTAAAATACTTAAACAGGCAGATTCCTAACATTACTCCCCCCTAATTAACCACCTTGCCCTCAAGGTGGGTAATAAGACACCGCCTTGATCTTGAACTTCCTCTTCATCCTGGAACCTCTTCCTTCCCAGTACCTCTCGGATTTCCCACCCAAAAGAAGCTTGCTTATTGCTCTGTTTGCTGTTTCTACAAACCACTCATCCTTTGATAGAGCACTTTGTACAATGCCCCTAACAGAAAATGTCCTGATCGCACGAGGCATTATATCAGATGCTATTTGATGCACTATCCTGGAAGGGTATCCAGCAAACCGTGCTCATCATACAGCCACATGACCCCATTCTCAATCAGCCTGGCAAGCAAAACCTTCTGTATTTTCTCCCTCCCAATTAGTACGTCACCAGCCACAGTTGCTAACTGCTGCAGCTTACCAAACAGAGCTTGAAACTGCATGTTCCCGTTCTTCACTGCAAGGAGCAGAAATAATATCTTGGTGGCAGAATGCTCCCTGGTGCTGCAAAAGTTTGAATCTCCCGGCCTCTGCATCTCCTGTTGTATCCTTTGCTTGTTTTCCAACCTCTCTTTAAGAGAATTGACCTCATCTTGGTCAAGACCTTGAACAATTTCAAAAGCATCTGATCTGAAATCACAGTTATAATCACACCTCAACATCTTCCCAGGGATTCAATCAAACTCATAGCTTTTATTCACCCTACTGGAGCCGCTCAAACCATAGTTTCTGTATACCTCAGCTAGCCTCTCCCATGTATATCTTTTCAGGAGGACATATGTGTTCCTAAGTCTCACAACAGCTGCCTTGATTCTTTCAGAATATATGGATGATAAGGCACCACCTGCTACCTTACAGAAAACAACACTTCTTTTCTCATGAGCATTTTCATCATAACCCATCAGTATCTTCCATAAAACAGAAATAATCTGAGGAGTTTCATCACTTATTGAATCACAGAGCAAACCAGCTTTAACCTTTTCAAGGACACCCATCCGTACTTCAGCTGTTCTCTCAGTAGATCTCTTTAGAACTTCCAGAAATGCTGGTTGAAAAGCCTCCTTGGTTGTTACTTCTGGAAATTCTGCCATTATCTCTTCCCAAATGGGGTCTCTTTTTAGCTTCTTCTCTCCTTCTAACCTGTGTTCACAAAATATAAGATATCCATCCCCCGAATCCTGTATGATGTGTGCCATGGTCTGCAAGGATATCTCAATAGAATTTAGTTGGGGTTCTCCTTGTATGATCTGATGTGTCCCCAACTGTTGCCACTGTGTTCTTGGCTTCTGAAAGTTCACTTCTACATCCCCCAATGTGGTTAACCACTCCATTCCAAGGACTAAGTCAGTCCCCCCAAGTTCTAGTATATAGAAATTCTGCTGGATAATAGTGCCTTGTACTCTGAGAACCAAACCCTCACATCTGCCATTATTGGTTACCTTATCCTCATTCCCTATCTGCACATTGTACCCTGGAATAGTCTGATAAGGTATTCCCCATTGTTCCACCAGTTTTTGTGATATGAAGTTGTGGGTGGCCCCACTATCAATCAAGTCCGGTTGAAACCTACGAATCACAGCATCCTTCAGATTCTCCCAAGTTCTTTCCTCAGCCTGATGTTCCCACCACTGGAACCAATTCAAAGCTCTGTCCTCCATGGCCACAACCGATACTTCTACTTTATCCTCCTCTTCAATCCCATTCAGTCGGTAGTAACGTTCCATTCTTACGATCCAATTATATGCACCCTCCCACTAAACAAAGGTAGATCCACCTTTCTACCTGTACGAACACGACGAGCAAGGACTGGTGAGTGAACAGAATTACCTCTCGAATGAGACTGGCTGTGCGATTGACGCGAGCGACGATGGTGCGGTGATCGCGATCTTCCCCTGGTATGATCGCTCCTGTTCTGGTGAGCTGCCATGGGTGCTGCGATGCTATTCTGGATCTGTTCATTCATCGCAGAAGTGAGGTTTGCAATGGTGGCCCTCATCTCCTGCTCAAAAGCCTCCATGCGATGCTCCATTTTAGATCTCGTTTTTACCATCCACTACTGAATACGAGAACTCAGTTGTAGTCGCTCTTCAAGTTCGATCCACTAACGACTCTGGTTGCTGTTAGTCTTCACGGATTGAGCCAAGGTCATCGCAATTTTCTCCGGCTTGTATGTACGTAATTCCAGTTGCGCACGATTAACGATCCTCTACAGTGTTGACGTGCTCTGTTGAAGTCGCACTTCAATTCCGATCCTCCAGGAGCAACTGCTCTGATACCATTGATAGGTACCTGGCACAGATCTGAGCAATACAATAAACTAACAAGCACAGATCTAATGAATGATAGGGAAAGAGTGTTTATTGATGGAAGGAGATAAACCGTAGGCTACGGGGACTTCTTAGGCAACCGGGACTTAGGCAACAAGGCAACAATTCTCAAAATAACAGTCTACCCGTTATTAGCTACCCAACTTACTATTTATAGTAGTAGGTACATGCAGGGACTAAAATAGAAAAACAGACTCATTAAATGACCCCAGCCCACTTAATTGACCTCAGCCCATTTTATTTCTCCTTTCAAATACCCTATTAAAATACTTAAACAGGCAGATTCCTAACAGTTTTAAAAACAACCAGTTGTTGCTAGAAGCAGTGGCGAAGCAGAATTGAGATTTGAGACCCTTGTCCCAAGGTGTATGTGGTGTTTTGTGGCTAAATAACCTTATGGCTGAGTTGGACACTACAATTGATGGACCTGCGATCTAGTGTAGTTCTTTGTGACAATAAGGCAACAATTAACACCACTCACAATCTAGTGCACCATGATAAAACAAAGCATGTGGACATCGATCACCTTTTCCTAAAAGAGAAGATTGAAGATGGAACCATAAATTTATGCTCTTACTACTTAGCATGTAGCAGACATCCCGTCAAAAGTTCTGCATAAGCCACCTTTTGATACTCCCTCCGTCCCGTTGGAATGTTCCCGGTTTGACCTACACACATATTAAGGAAATAAACTTACCAAGGGGTAAATTTTACTGTTTTGACACTGTTTCGACACTGTTTGGCACTGTTTCGACACTGTTTGACACTGTTTTGCACTGTTTGACCCTGTTTTGATGTAGGATAACTTTCCATTTAGGGAAATGGGAACTTTCCAACGGGACATCCAAAAAAGGAAAGCGGGAACATTCCAACGGGACGGAGGGAGTACCTTTTTTGACAAGCTTGGATTGTAGAATCTGTACAGTCCAGCTTGAGGGGGGTGGGGGGGGGGTGGGGGGTGCAGAATGTTCTTAGGGCTTCCGTAATATGTGGTTGAGTATTATTAGGAGTTTGGTACTTTTGGTAGTTATCTCTTTCAACTCTATCATATTAAGGCTACATAACAGACTCTTACCTTAATAATAATACTTCTGTTAAATTATATCTCATGTCTGCCGTCACTACGGGCAACAGGTTCTGAAACATTTAGAAGGTGTTCGTAATCCATTCCCGTCCTCTACACACAACTTCTATGTCCTGATAGAGACAACAGGGAGTGATGAAGTTCATGACATGTAACTTTTTTCTAACCACCTCGCTTGATGTGCTTTAATTTGATATTTTCTTTCCATCAAATTATTTTCTTTGACATCCTCGATCTGCTCATTATCTTTCCAATCTCCATAAGGTTACTTTGCTGTTAGTTTTCTTATAGCAACCTATTACCATTATAAAAGGGTTTATACCTCTCATAAATTTATTTCTTAAGATTAATATTGTAATTTAATAATTTTTTGAAAATTTTGGACTAGGTTTCATACAACAAAAACAACATCCAAGCCTTAATCCCAAAAGATTTTGGGGTCAGCTAACATGAATTGATCCATGATATCGATGCTAAAAAAGAAGACAGACAAGAAGAACAAGAAGAAAACAAAAGATAAAACGAATAAGATAAAGATAACTAAATGTAAGATAACAATAACATAGGAATATAAGAAAGCTAAAAGCTAAAAGATAAAAGAGCATAAAAAGCTAGAAGATAAAAATAACATAAGAACATAAAAATGAACTTTACCTAATAAATTGGATATAATCTTACAAGTGGTAGTAGTATTGAGTTTCATTCCCCAACATATTTTTCTCATGAGGTAGAAGAATGTCCTAATTTTCTTAAATGTGCTTCATAAAGCAAAAGTTGATTTAATATGTATTTTTTAATATTCATTCGATGTTTCTCAACTTACGCACAGTACATTTATGAGATCGTGCAAATGTGTGACTTTAATCCTTATCAATTGCACATTGAAATCATACTTTTAAGGAATTATGAAAATATTTCAAGCTAATTGTTATCAATAGGGTAAAGTTATGTATTACAAATTATTTAAACATGTAAAAATTTATTAACCCCCCTTTACATCTACAAGTCAGATAGAAATTTAAAGGGTGCTTGATTTTGAGCAATAGAAGGAATGGAAATATCAGGATAATCATTTCAGCTGATGGTGCTTGGATATCATTACGAGACCCACAATTCTCCAACTATTCCATTACATTCATTAACTACCTTCCCCCCATCTATCAGAGTCATGAATAATCCCATTAATTATTTAATCATTCATATTACAATTACCAATGTGGAACTAAACCGAGCGGCCCCTAATTCTTTTAAATTATTTCAAATATTATAATACTCATAATATTTTTGTGGTAATATAAAATTTAATAATTTCAATTTTTTTGAAAAAAATAAATATTTAAAAAAATCTTAAAAGAACCTGCCTCAACAAATATTTATTCTTATAAAGATATTTTACTCCCTAGATTATTTCTCTTTAGTGCATGTTAATGTTTGAGATTAATGTAATGTGCTAATTCTTTAAAACGTATTTAATATAATAAAACTTGGTTTTAAGTTATTTGCACACTTTTTCATTTTTTGTTCATCTCAAAAGTCAAAACTATGGCCCATTTTCTTTCAAGGAAAATAGTATGTGGTTCATAATATTCCTCTCTCTTCTAAGTTCTAAATAAATTTCCAAAACACAGTTTTCATTTTCTTAAACTCTGCACGATCAAAGTAGGCGATATTTTACTTATGAGGCTTGCACCATGCCACATGATTTGCCTCTAGACTTATTCCTCACGAGGCTAAAGCAAATTCCTTGAAGCCCTTTTTGGTCAGTAAAACTTTTACTTAAATCGTCAGTCGTATTGATAAATGGATGTTCTTGAACTTGTATTGGAACTAGGGAGAGGCTGGAGTCCTTCTTAATGCATTCAATGGAAAGTGGCTTGCTAACTGATGGTGTTGTTGCACAAGATATAAATCAAGCATCATCATGCTGGCATATTCGTGAGGTTCTCACTATTTACTCCACGCTTCCCATTTATACAATCATGTTTTTGTTATCTTCGGTAATTTGTTAGCCTGTGTAACCTGGCCATATAAATCACAGGGTATACCTGAAGCTTTGATGAAAGCTGGAGCTGTTTACAAATATGATTTGTCTATACCAGTTGAAAAGATGAATGATCTTGTTGAGGAAATGCGAACACGTCTAGGTAATTAATTCACTGCCAAAATGGCAGAACCATGTTCAAACTTTAAATGGGCATACTTTCATAGTGATAATTGGGACACCAAAATTTGGAGATTCACTTTTATATAATAGTGTCATAACTTTGTTACCTTGGACAATATGATCTAAATTACCTAAATAAGATGTGTGATCTATTTGAGGCAATGTGACCATATGGTGGTAATAGATCTAAATTACCTAGATGCCATTCCAGTATAGCTGCACCATGGTGCTTGTATCCATATGGTATGGTAATAAAGCACACTTAATATGACAGCAACGTCATAGAATTATAGAAATATATTGATTCACTTGTTATAAAATAGTGCCCAAGCTTCGGTCCATAATGATACCATATGTATGTGCTGCAATTTATCACAAAAGATTACACATATACTGACAGGTACATTTTTTTCAGATGCTAGAGCCAAAGTAGTAGCATATGGCCACCTTGGGGATGGGAACTTACATCTCAATATATCCGCGCCACAGTATGATGATAATGTAATGCACTCATGCCGTCATGCCTTGCTTTATTCAATGAGGTCTTTGTGGTTTCTGAAGATTCACTTACCAAATCAGGCGAACATGTTTATTTGCAGATTTTATCACAAATTGAACCTTTCGTTTATGAGTGGACGTCAAAACATCGTGGAAGCATAAGTGCTGAGCATGGGCTTGGACAAATGAAAGCCAATAAAATTCATTATAGCAAGTCACCTGAGACTGTAAGACCAATAGCTTGCATTTTTTCTTATGTGATGTAAGTGATGTTTCCACAAATCTGTGTGAGAATGGACATGTGTTTTTATAACTTATAAGGTTACGGCGTTACATGTTTTTTACTAACTAGTGGACATTTCGTTTGAGAATAATTCTCATATGTATCTACAGACACGCTGCGCGTGCACACAAACACATATATGGAAGAGCTTTTTATTAGTACCACTCCATAAATGTGTACTTTTTTAGTACCATTCAAAGCTTGAAAGAAAATGTTTTTTTAAGTAGTGTACAGTCTTCTGTTTTTCTCCATTTTAGTACAGACATTCTGTTTTTCTCCATTTTATGTCTGGGCCCATTTTCTTTCATTTACTTTTTTACTACAGAACTAGGATATACAGTCTTCTGTTTTTCTCCAAAAAACCATGTTCTTAATATTTCCCTTTTGACGGCTCATGTTTGCTGATTGTTCAGGTACAATTAATGGCATCTGTTAAGAGGTTGCTTGACCCTAATGGAATTCTCAATCCGTATAAAGTTCTTCCGTCTTCCCTTTTGATTCAACAGTGACGTTCTACTCAAATCATAACTCTTATTAAATATATATATTAATAAGCTGTCAAGCATAATCACCTCCTAAACTGGCCTTTCACCACAGCAAGCCTCGGGGGATTTATTTATGCTCTCCAGTGGCACTTGTCCTTACAATCCGCTTCTTCATCGAAAAGTATTCCGTGTTACTCATCATCTATGTGTGATCCATCTAAAGACTTTCACTCTTTGTACTCTATTACACATGTATTATACGGAATATTAACAAAAGTCTTTTTGTGTATTTTTCTACCTTGTATGTAGTTTTGCCTTCATGAAAAATTATCAAACAAACATCAATTCACAACTTGTTATTTTAAATTGATGTGCTCTATTGAACACATAAACATCCTAAGTGGTTCATTATACATACTCTCTTTGTCGCCTAAAATTTTGCCTAAAACTGTCATTTTCCCTTTTAAGTAGGCTTGGATTCGGTTCGGGCCACCCGGCCCGGTCGGGCGGTCCGGGACCGGGTGTAGACCCGAACCGGGGGGAAGGGCGGGGCGGGCTCGGTTCAGACAAAAGGTGACCCGGCCTGGCCGGGTCAGGCCCAGGTTCGGGTCCAACGGTCAAAAATCATTTTTTTTTGTTTGGGCCACAAATAACCGTTGGGGGTGGGCTGGAAGGGGTGGTTCGGGCGGTTTCGGGGGTGGGGTAAAAAAACTATAAATACTCCTAGTCTTAAACATTTTTTCATATCTCTAATGATCTAATCTCTTCTCCAACTCTTCCTAAATCCTACTCTCTACTATCTAATTATCTTCATCTTCTCAAATTCTCTTATTCTCCAATATATTATATATCTACTTATATTATTTAGCCGAGTGTCCACTTCAATGATTCAGTTTTCTAGTTTCATGAGTAGAAAACAAAAAGAACATTTTCTACTTTCTAGTTTTCTACTTTCATCAGCCTGAAATATGTTTAAAAATAAATTAAACTATCAAAGTAAAGAACAAGTGAGACATGAATCTGGCAAAACACTCTGCATAGCAAAAACAGAAATTCAGGGGAATGTATATATAAAAAACTTAATAAATTCTCAACATATCAGAAATCCAAGTAGATATACAGAATTTATAGCCAGAAGAACATGTTAATCTAAGTAGTTTAGTTCCCTAGGCTTTCCTAACAAATGAATACAGAAAGATGTCCTGGGGCACAAGCACGGTCTTTATCAATATACTCTATCATTTGTTTATAGATATGGATGAACATAGTGGTCATATTACCAGGATTGAGAAGCTTTAGCAAATGATGAAGGTCGTCTAAAGCTCTTTATGCATCGTCGTCACTCGTCCACAGCTCTAGCTTGAACTTTCGTCACTCGTCCGCAGCTTCTTCTTCCATAGCTTCGTCTTTCGCAGCTTCGTCCTCAATACTCAATAGTCCGCAGTTTGGTTAGGGGAAGTTGGGACTTGGGAGAACAGGAGAAGGTAAACTACTTGGTTAGGGATTTGGTCTCAATTTGAGAGACTGAAGAAGACGGGTTTGAAGATGGGTTTTTAAAAATTTGGGCCTTATAATTTACCAATTTCATTTAATGGCTGGTTGGGCCTAATAATTAAAAATTCAAATTCGGTATTTAGGTATATACCGTACCATACCGAAAATTAACGGTATTTCGGTATATACCGAAATACCGAAAATTTAAAAACTGCATACCGTTACCGTACCGGAGTGACCTGGTAAGGTATCATACCGTACCGAAATTTTCGGTATACCGAAAAGTTCGGTAAATTTGGTATTTTTCGGTACGGTATGGCCGGTATATCGAAATTTCGGTATATTTTCCCACCCCTAGTTTCAATCCACCATATGATTTCTAAAAAATCATACACAAAAAACTAGTTAAGGGGTGTTTATTGAGTTCTTACCTCAAACACTATCCCTTTATCCCCATGCAATAATCCACAAATAATATGGAGGATGGGGTCATAGGGTGTGGCTTTGTCTTGAGCCATCCATTCTCCTTAATAGTCCGCCTCCTACTGATTTTCTTGTCTCTTCTTACTATTTGGGAGATATTTGGCTCATAAAATATCCCAAGTTTGCGTAGGAAGTCCCTCCCAATTATTTCTGCTATTTCTGGCAGGTTGGGTCGAAATAGCATTCGGGTTGTCCAAATATTTTCTTTCAACCTCGGTTGGCATTTTATTGGGCTTCTATAATTATTACGATGACCCAACTAAATATTTGGTAGTCCATTCTCAATATTATGGCCCTGATAAATAATTTAATTAATCCTTCATTAATTAAATATATCATTCTTTTACACGAAATCATTCACTAGAAAAGTTCAAATACATAATGAATTTCGAATACAAGTACATTCGGGTGTGGTGTCACACCTTTAGCCTTTCAGCCGGAGACTGCAAGATGTTCACTATATCTGAATATGAGGATGAGGCGATGTACGCCTATCTGAATACGAGGACGATGGCGCTGAGGAGCCGGTCTGAATATGAGGACGAGGCGATGATAAGCCGTTCGTCATATAGGGGCGACGGTCACCAATCGGCCGGAAAAGGAGTAACGAGCCCGATCGCTATAACAAGACTTCGGCGCTGGTAGCCGGTCTTGAGGTAGATAATCATGCCGAGGCCGAGAGGCCGATCGTGATGTGCGGACGACGATGCTGAGAAGCCGATCCGATAATATGATGATGGGGCGATGATGAGCCGACCGTCATATAAAGGCGACAGTCACCATCCGGGAAGGGATGGTGAGCCCGATCGCTAGCTCAAGACTCTCGGCTCTGAGGAAGCCGATCTTGAGATAGATAATCACGCCGAGGCCGAGGGGCCGGTCGTGATGTGCGGACGGCGATGATGAGGAGCCGATCCGATAATATGATGACGAGGCGATGATGAGCCGATCGTCATATAAAGGCGACAATCACCATCCAAGCAGGGATGGTGAGCCTGATCGCTAGCTCAAGACTCTCGGCTCTGAGGAAGCCGGTCTTGAGATAGATAATCACGTCGAGGCCAAGGGGCCGGTCGTGATGCGAGGACGACGACAATGAGAAGCCGGTCCTATAATATGATGACGGGGCGATGATGAGGCGACCTTCATATAGTGGCGATGGCCACCATCCAGGAAGGGACGACGAGCCCGATCGTTAGCTCAAGACTCTCGGCACTGAGGAAGCCGGTCTTGAGATAGATAATCACGCCGAGGCCGAGGGGCCGGTCGTGATGTGCGGATGGTGATGAGAAGGAGCCAATCTAAAATATGATGGTGAGGCGATGATGAGTCGATCATCATATAAAGGCGACGGTCACCATCCAGGAAGGGATGGTGAGCCCGATCGCTAGCTCAAGACTCTCGGCGCTGAGGAAGCCGGTCTTGAGATAGATAATCACGCCAAGGCGGAGGGGTCAGTCGTGATGTGAGGACGACGGCGATGAGGAGGAGCCAATCCGAAATATGATGACGAGGCGATGATGAGTCGATCGTCATATAAAGGCGACGGTCACCATCCAGGAAGGGATGGTGAGCCCGATCGCTAGCTCAAGACTCTCAGCACTGAGGAAGCCGATCTTGAGATAGATAATCACACCGAGGCCGAGGGGCCGGTCGTGATGTGAGGACGATGGCGATGAGGAGTCGGTCCTAATATGAGGACGAGGCGATGGATGCATGTCTGAATATGAGGACGAGGCGATGGATGCCTGTCTGAATATGAGGACTACGACGCTGATGAGTAGGCCCAAATATGATGACGGGGTGATGATGAGCTGATTGTCATACAGAGGCGATGGTCACCATTCAGGAAGGGATGACGAGTCCAATCACTATAACAAGACTTAGGCGCTTGGAGCCGGTCTTGAGATAAATAATCACGTCGAGGCCAAGAGGCCGATCATGATGTGCGGACGGCGATGATTAGGAGCCGGTCCGAAAATATGATGACGAGGCGATGATGAGGCGATCGTCATATAAAGGCGACAGTCACCATCCAGGAAGGGATGGTGAGCCCGATCGCTAGCTCAAGACTATCGGCGAGGAAGCCGGTCTTGAGATAAATAATCACGTCGAGGCCGATCGTGATGTGCGGACATCGATTTTGAGAAGCCGATCCGATAATATGATGATCGGGAGATGATGAGTCAGCCATCATATAGAGGCGATGGTCACCATCCAGGAAGGGATGGTGAGCCCGATCACCAGCTCAAGACTCTCAGCGCTGAGGAAGCCAGTCTTGAGATAAATAATCACGCCGAGGCCGAGGGGCCGGTGGTGATGTGCGGACGGCGATGATGAAGAGCCGGTCCGATAATATGATGACGAGGCGATGATGAGCCGATCGTCATATAAAGGAGACGGTCACCATCCAGGAAGGGACGGCGAGCTCGATCGCTAGCTCAAGACTCTTGGCGCTGAGGAAGCCGGTCTTGAAATAGATAATCACGCTGAGGCCGAGGGACCGATCATGATGTGCAGATGGCGATGAGAAGGAGCCAATCCGAAATATGATGACGAGGCGATGATGAGGTGACCGTCATATAGTGGCGATGGTCACCATCCATGAAGGGACGATGAGCCCGATCCCTAGCTAAAGACCCTCAGCGCTGAGGAAGCCGGTCTTGAGATAGATAATCACGCCGAGGCCGAGGGGCCGATCTTGATGTGCGGATGGCAATGAGAAGGAGCCAATCCGAAATATGATGATGAGGCGATGAGCCGATCATCATATAAAGGCGACGGTCACCATCCAGGAAGGGATGGTGAGCCCGATCGCTAGTTCAAGACTCTCGGTGCTGAGGAAGCCGGTCTTGAGATAGATAATCACGCCGCGGCTGAGGGGCCGGTCGTGATGTGATGAAGGGCAAGGCGTTGACGTCGGACTGAACATGAAGGACGGCGGATCCGGTCCGATGATGGACTAGTCTTGGATGCTCGTCTGAAGATGAGGGATGGCGTTGGGCGCTGGTCTGAAGATCAGGGACGACACTGAGCGCTCGTCTGAAGATGAGGGAAGGCGTTGTGCGCTCGTCTGAAGATATGGTACGGCGGTGGGGGCTCGTCTGAAGATGAGGGACGACACTGAGCGCTCGTCTGAAGATGAGGGACGGTGCTGGGCACTCATCTGAAGATAAGGTACGACGGTGGGCGCTCGTCTGAAGATGAGGGACGGCGCTGGGCGCTCGTCTGAAGATGAGGACAGCGCTGGGCGCTCGTGTGAAGATGAGGGACGGAGCTAGGCGCTCGTCTGAGGATGAGGGACGACGCTGAGCGCTCGTCTAAAGGTGAGGGACGGTTCTGGGCGCTCGTCTGAAGATGAGGGACGGCGCTGAGCGCTCGTCTGAAGATGAGGGATGGTGCTGGGTGCTCGT